AACATTAAGCTGTGTTCCTTCTGGCCTGTTCTTCAGCAAAAGTGAAATTCAGACTTTATTAATGATTCTGCAGATGATACATGAGATGAAACAAAACACAGCTCATTCCACAAAAACAGCATTTACTTTTCTAGGCTAGCAGAAACATATTAAAATTGGTGATGACAGCTAGTTCTGTTAGAAAATTAATGGTATGAGGCTCAAAGTACTGATTGCATATCCATAAGAGGTTTCATGTTCAAAGGGGTAATGTTTGATTGAACTGAGTTTATATTTAGAAAGACAGAATATGTTTCCTGCAAGCACTGTGTCAGATTTGGACGAGTTTCTTTTCAATGCTTTTCATATTTCCTTCCTTTTTTCTGCAATACTTTGCATGCTTTTCTATGTCACTTTAAAAAAACACAACCCACAACAAACAACACCTTGATTTTTAGAAAGCTAAGAGTGGCATGACTGAGTACACTGGACCATCAATAGCTGGAAATTTTTGCTAAAAAACCTTTGTTTCTGAACCTTTGTATCTCTTTTTTAGTGTTTACTGTAAGAACAGCATTCCAGACATGCCTACCTTGTCCTGCCTTGCAGCAAGCAGAGGAGGCTGAGGGGAGACTTCATTCACTCTACAGCTGCCTGAAAGGAGACTGTAGTGAGGTGAATCTTGGCCTCCTCTCCCTACTGACTAGCAATAGGACAAGAGGAAATGGCTACAAGTTTTGCTAGGAGAGGTTCAGGTTGGATATTAGGAAAAATTTCTTCACAGAAAGAGTGGTGAGGCATTGAACAGGCTGCCCAGGGAGGTGGTGGAGGCACCACCCCTGGAGGTGTCAAAAAAACAGGTAAACGTGGGGTTTCAGTAGATGGTTTAGTGGTTAAGGGTTGTAGGGTGGAGGATTGGGCTTGATGATGTTGCAGGTCTTTTCCAACCTTGATGGTTCTATGACTCCTGCAGTAATGGGCAGTCCAGGACACTGTAGACCTTCTCACTAGGGAAAAGATAAGTAATTGGCTACAAAAGATGTCATCATTTCTATCTATCTGGTAAGGCCTGAAGCATGGTCTTACAGATTCTTTCAGACCTCAGGCTAGCACAGATTCCCACCATGGAGCTCCTTGTGCATAATTTAAATGTTAGTTTACCAGATCCTTTAAACAAGGTGTAATTGGTTTGTCAGCTTCATTTTGGTATTGCTGTCATATGCTGTTACCTGAAGGAGTGTCACACATCTGGAGCACATGAGTGGGGAGAGGAGGTGAAGGTTTGTGCTGGGCTGCAAAAATGAACACCTCAAACAATGAACTGGTGTGGGAGAAAACATGCTTACTTTCCTCCCTAATTCAGAAAATCCAGAACATTCAACAGTCCCACCAGTGGCTGACAAAGGAAAACCAAAACCATGTAGGCCAGCTGGAAACCAGTCACATGATGACTCTAATGGAAAAGCCTTCCTTCAAGTAGCTTAGCCACACAGCCACTTTTGCCTGCTCTTTAATTTGAAATGCTCTTGCTCCCTCAGAATAAAAAAAATAAATATAGTGACCATTACAACAGACTCAACTCATTATGCTTAATAATTCCCAAGGCATTTTTCTTCCAATAATTCATCCAAGCACTTCTGAATCCTTATAAAATTTTAGCACCCACAATATTCTGCAGTAGGAGTTCCACAATTCATTGTGCTTAACTTCTCATTTCCAGCCTGCATTTTGCTGCCTGTATCTACTTGTTTATTCTTGTGCTGACATCACCCTTCAGACAGAATACCTCCTCTTCCTTACTGATGTTTATGTAAATCCAAACTGCCTCAATAAACCAAATTTTATGGCAGAATCCTGAAATGATTTCCACAATGCTCAAATCAGTGCTGAATAGTTAAGGAAGACAGATTAATAAGCTCCTTGAGTACCAAAACTAGCACAGCAGCCTTCTTTGGCTCAGGAGGATAAATTAACCCAAATGAAGAACCAAACTGTCAGACTATTTTTATGCAATTGTATCTTGTATTTTAAACCTGTATGAAGAAGAGGTGATTGCATAGAGCAAAATCTATCAAAGCTTGCTACACTGGGATCAAGTCACAGCATTGATTCTTTCTTTACATTCACAGCAAAACACACATTTGTACCATGCACTGGCATTCAGGCCAACACTGTAGCACCTGTGTGTAGAGAAATCCTGCTTGCCACATGTGGTTGATCAAACCAGTCTGGTAAAGTGGAAAAAAGCAGCCACATTGCACAGCACAGCCATTTAGCTCAAGTTTTCACATATGGAGTGTGTTAAGCACACATCTGCATGAGGACAGCAACACACCTACTGCATGCCCTACTATGCCACATCAGTCATCTCATCATGTCACCTGAACCATAGTTCACATACAGAACTTGCACAGAGATTAAAGGGCTTTCAAATTATTTCCTATAAAAGAGACTACAGAGCTACAGGAACAGGACTCAAACAAGGTTTTCAACAAGAAGGAATAAGTAGGTTTTAGTTACCACTGTTATTGCACTGAGATGGTCTCTTTTTTATAAACCACAGTTTTCTCCTTATTCATTCTGGCAACCAGACCAAGTAGAGCTCAGTATTCCCACCCAAGGAATACCAGCTGTCCCCAGATCAACACCAACATTAGGGAATGAATTTGCTGTCACTAGAGGAAAAGAATCTCAAAACTACAAAAGATTAGTTTCACATTACTGAAATATCACGGGAAATTTGTATAAAAAGTAAGAAAGTTCAAATATTGACCTTGTTCTTGCCTGTGTAGAGATGCAGGGAATATTCTCTGAAACGTGTCCTTTTTTGTGCTTGCCTACAACTGTGAAGATTTGTCTGTTTGCCAGAGAACAAATGAAAGGGATGAAGAAGGAAGCAGTGCCGTGTTGTGAGTTTTACAACCATTTTTGTTTTATGCAAAGACATACATCTTGGAATACTTGATCAGCTTGTCCCCTCAGAAACTTGTCCCAGCAGGCAGCAAGAAATCATTCATGCATTCATTCAGCCATTTACTTCATAGGTCCCTCTGAGTGCCATGAATGCCTCTGAGACTGTTATGAATGCAACACTGAAAATACAACTGTTATGAAACAAACACATTGTGCAGGAGCTGTCCTGCTGTTATAATAGTAGGGCTAAAAGTCTTCAAGGAAAAAGAACACAATTCAGTATGAACCTAAAGAAATACACTCTCATTATCAAACCAGTGAAGAAGGTTGACAAAAATATAAAACATTATTTTAATATTCCTCTATGGGATTTTTCTGGCAAGAAACTATAAGGAATGCACAGAGAAGCTGACACATTCAGCTTCTGCTTGATCCCATGTAATCCCCATATCCACAGATGTGTATGATGGTAATATATGTACATTTTCATAAGTAGAACAGCTCCGAGCTAGTAGCTATAAAACAGGAGGAACCTCTGCAAATCAAGATGCATTTGAGACTTAGCTATGGAGTGGGGCCTTCTGAAGTTCACGCTGATAATCTCTCTCTTTAAGTGAAAAATGCAACATAACTTACTTGCATTCAGCAACTATTAGGGAGTGAAAGGTTTGAAATTGCTTCCCTATTAGTCCACTTGATTTGGGTATTGTTACTGTAGGACCTATCAAATGTATATAGTAGGTTTATTTAGGATCTCTGGATTGGCATTTAACTTTTAACTCCTTTCTCAGTACTTCAACAAATCAAAAGCAGATTGCCAGGAGGTGAGAGCAGTTTTATTCAGTAACTAAAGATAGCTGAGGTGCATACAGTTCAGTGACAAGTGTTTGTTAGCAGGAAAGCTCATTCAGTAGTTATCTGCCTCCTGTTCAGCTGGGTATGAAAATATTCCACATATCTGAATTAAGAACACACTATGTATTTTTTCCCAGGCTCACTTCTGTACACAGATCATAAAACATGCCAATGCACTGACTGTGTTTTGGAGGAAAGGGAGATGATTACACTGGCTGATTTAAAACAAAGCAAAACAAACCAAAACAACATCTTCCTGGGGAAAAAGAAGAATACACCATTGATCAGCTGAAATCCAAATCCAGTTTCTGATAGAGGTTCACTGTTTGTATACTATTCATAAATGGAAATCAATACCATAATATAACGACAGCATATCTGTTATGTAGACATTAAATGATGCTATTCTTCTATCTTTTTTTTAAGAGATGATGGAGAAAATACTATTTTCAAAACAAGAAGACAAAACAATACATTTCTCATTCAGTTTCAGAGAACACAGGTCCTCAGTCTTTGAGCATATCAAAAGGAAAATCCTTAGTGCAGACCCTTTGAAAATGTTTGTAAAACATTGGCCTTGTGTCATTTTGAATTACAAAACTGCAGATGTACCCCCATGCTGAAGCTGTTTCAAATGAACCAGCATGAAGATCACTTTGCCCCACAGTATTACTGGCCATCAGGGTTAACTCACCCGACTTTTGTTTTCCATCCATTTCACCGATGTGTTTGGTTTGCCTATGAGAAAGGTTTTTAATATACCAACAGCACTACCTACAATACAACACTAAGACTGCTGGACAAGCTCAGCAATAAAAGGGAAATGAGATTTACAGTAGCCACACCACTTACTTTTATTATGGAACAGAGAGGCATAATCATGTCACTTGCTATAAACTCAGCTGCTCAGATGTTGCTGGGCTTGTCCCCAAGCTACGCACTTCCACAAGAAAATGGCAATTTCTATTCTGATTTGCATGTCACATAATTGTGTAGATTAACATAGCACAGACTGCTATAAGTATCTGCTCCTGATGAGAGAGTGACTATAGTATCAACTAAACCAGCTGATTCTGACAAAAATTACAGGGTAAATATACATGGCTAAGTCCATTGTCCACGAGTGCTAAAGAGGAAATAAAAATTTCCCTGAATGTTTAAGTCAAACTAAACTTCTATACCTGTTGTGGAATGGTTGAACAAACTGACAGAAATCAGAATATACAACAATACGGCATCAAAGCACTACTTACAGCTAGAGAATATCAGAGGACATGAGTGTTCATCCATTGGGAAATTGTGCAGCTGCAGCTGGCACTCAGCATTGATGGTGAGCCTAGAGAGAAACCAAGTGTCTGTTACTACAGATCTGCACAATGAACAGTCAGAGGAGGAGGCAGAGTAACCTTAGGCACCATGCAAGAGCACCCTGTCATCTCTCAAGTGAGACCAGAAAGGACTATATTTGAAGTCTGTGCATTAGCCTGATCCAAGCCAATAAAAATTATCTAAAAACACAAATAACTTCAGACACATCATGAAGAGTTTCTTGATGCAAAGAAATCTGTGCATATATTTTCTCTAGGCAATTCATTATTGAAGGACATGGGATGCAAAAACCTGTTCTTTAGAAAAACAAAAGGAAATATGGCTGATGTGGTGCACAAAACTAAAAACTTACAAAGGATCTTATAAGGAACATTTTCCTCATTCATTTATAGTGCAAGCTTAAAATCTTTTAGTCATTTTAGGCTGTCTCTAAAAAATGTAATAAATGCCTGGATGCCATTCTCAGTTGTACAGATGTAACAAACAGATCAGCAGAAAGCTTGTTTTAAGTAATATCCCTAACAAAATGGACACTAGGAATGGATTTGATTTTAAATTTACTGTTAAAAAACAGATACTCTTCAGTCTGAGAGCTTACAAAGTAAATCTATTTACTGAAGTAGATACCATTTAGTGCTGGTTCATTATACATTCTTTTTCAGGACATTGATACATTAATTGCATGCCTGAATTTATGTCACAAGTGTGGGGTGTGAGGGGTTTTTGTTGCCTTCCTTTTCTTCTTTTGTTTTTTAAACTAATTCAAAACCTGACAAACTGGATGAGGAAAGGTTTGTGTCTCAGATCTAAGATGGCACAGAGAAAACCTCTGTCTTGTCATTGCTTTTGCACTGACACTAGACGAGGATTTGCAGGGCTATAATAGGAGTGCCTTCAGGCAGGGAAAAGGAAGGAAAGGCAGAGCATGATGGAATCTTGCACATTTTCTCCTGAATACAGAACACTCATCAACACCTGACAGCACCAGGACCTACAGTAGTTACCATTTCCATGTGATACTAATTCTATGTGCCCACTTAAGTCAGATAAATTGTTTTTGAATTAAACAACGTTAATCAATAAACAATGATCCTTTTAACAGTTCCTCCTACGTTAAAAGGAGGCTGATCTGAGTGGGTCAAAAGGACTCAAAACATCTTTCAAAACCTATCAAAAATTATCATTTGAACAATCCACTGGGTCAAGAATTAAGCCTTTTTTAGCTGTTTTAGACAAAAAAAAAGTGTAGTCTATGCAACTAGAAGTTTATTTAGTGATCAGTATGTAAGTGTAACTACTATGAGGTAGATACTTAACTTGCCCTGAAATACTGAAAGACTTAAGGGAAAAAAAATAAGAAAAAACCCCAACAACCCAACCAAGAAGGTATTGGAGTTGACATCCTAATCACCAAAGTGTTTAGCTAAAGGCTACTGAAACAAGCAAGAGCTCTGTCACAGTGGAGCAAGCCTAAGAAGAGAAGGGCACAAAAAATGTCAGTAGCATTTCCAGCTGTTTGATTTATTTCTCATTGTTTGCCAAAGACTTGCTATTGCAGTGCAACTGCAATTACAAGTATGATAAAAAGATGTTATTGCACTGAGAGGGCTGAACACAACCCCTGAAGAAAATGTAGTGTGAAAGGGATGTTTCTGAAAAAGTTTGCCCTGTAGAATACAGCTCATGGCAAAACTCTCTTCTGAGCTCCTCATCTCTTCCATAAGTAAACACACATTTTGATTTCCACAGGCATTTTTTTAAATGCAAATATATACAGTATTTCTAGTACCATGCAGCTGATGGTATCACAAAGATTAGAAAACTCAAAAAGCCTTTCCTCTGGCAATTCACCCTTGTGATGAGATGTGATGACTATCTTTCAGCATTACTTATTGAAGAATGAAGTCTTGGTATTAGCATGAATCTAGATTCCTGCATCTAACTCTGATTAGAAAGGCTTCTGGCAGGTGGGACTACATGCTCCTAATTTTATTACAAATACTAAAAAACCCAGCTTCTACAATTTAGACAGACCTACTTCCAATTCTCAATGTTTCCTTTTTAGAAAGGCAACACTTTGGTTTTTAAATGTGGCAGTTTCCCAGCTGAATATTTCAGTATTTGTCAAGCATGGTCAGGTAAACATTGGGGAAAAAAACAGCAGAGAACAAAGACACCACTGAAACTGATTCCTGCTGTGCCAGCTGCAGGAGAAACTTTCAGCCCTGCACCTTGCAGAGTGCTCACCTGAGGGTATACAAGATCTTGCCATCGTTCCATATGCGCAGGAGCTGGTTGGGGGTGGTGATCCAGTGAGCCTCTGCTGTCTTTGAGTTACGGAATATTGTGTCTGGGATCCAGATCAAGCCCACCATGTTGCTGTTCAGAGTCAGGATCTTCATGGTGCTGTTGAAGCGCAGACGGCTGTCGGTCCACGTCTGGGCAAAAAATATATCAATTTGATATTCCTGCAATGAAATCATGATATGTAAATTGAAATCAGTTCCAAAATTCCCACTGGTGTTTGGTGTGTGATAAGGTCTATCCAGATGTAGAACAGCAGGATACATTCAGGCCAATGAAGCTATGTTTTCTTTTTTTTTACTGAGTGAGGAAATAATTATTTTTCCTTTTTCCTTTTTATCCCCCCCTCTGGCTACTTTAGAAAACAGGCCAAACTTCTCACTTGCCTGTGCTAAAACAATTTCTGCACTCACATGTTCTTTTCCATTGTCTCTGAAAAGTGACAGCTACGAGGTACAGTTTGCAAAGACTTTCTCTAAGGGCAGATTGATAAAAGATGAACAGGAGCAACACACAGCATCTGGAGAATGGTAAACTCCCCTGATAGTGGCAATGCATTTTTGGGGTAGGGAAGGTTGTATAAATTCAGTAAGTTAATTGTTCTGTTTGCTACCATTTGTTCAGCCACTGGTTTTTAGGTGACACTATAGCAGAAGTGAAAAGGCATGTTTGTGCTTCTTTATTTGCTCATGTACTCCAAAGGCTAAGAGCTGAACGGTCACAAGCTTATTACCCTAAATAGGCTAATATTGTCATTTACATGAATCTCATCCTTTCTTTCACTCCATGTTTACTGCTGTGTTTCTGTAGGCAAGCAGTCATAGTAGGTAAACTACAGAAATTAAAATACACATGGACAAATCAGACAAAATTATATAGGCCAACATACGAACACATTGATTTCTACATTTAATACTCCATGGAAGAAACTGTGTAAAAAACAGTATTTAAATTGAGAATTCCAGCCACTGGAGGCTGGGAAAAGTCCCTTTTGCGTTGCTTATATTTGTCTTCCTCTTTCCAGATGGCTCTACCTGTGAAGCCTGTGGGAATGGCCATCTGCCTGTGTCATGAAAGACCAGTATGACAGGCCTGGTCCCATCCATGACAGGGATGCTTGCTGTTGTGACACAAAGCTTATCCTCTACAACACAGGTGAATACAGGGGCTGGGGATAATCCAGAGGAAAACATATCCTCAGGCCCCCTGGTAGATGCAATCTTGGTATATATGAACAAAGGGCAATTAAGGCTGTATGGAAAGTCTGATATGCCTTTGTCATTGACAACTCTGAGTTTGTTTTTATTATAGTTTTGGTTTTCCATTCCAAGTTTAAAAAGGAAAGGTGTAAGAAAAAAAAATAATGCTATTATACAAACAGCATGTTTTGGGCTTGTGTTTTTTTTCAATAGGTGGAAGAGCTTGTAGTTTTAACTGAAGACAAGGTTTTTGCTACGAGCCATCTGGTTCTTACCCACTGTTACATTTTTGGCAGGCCATCCTTCCAAAGCTGATGCTGTAACACCAGGAAATCTAATTCACTGACACTGTAGTCCTAGTCTAAAACATACTCTGGGCCTCTCATCTCTAGAAGGCAAATGATCACTAGGTGCATAAGTGGTGTCAGCATGTATCCAAACAGCAGCTAACAGATCACCTTAGGAATTAAAGCCTACCCATCAAAGGCATTAAGAACCATTTTTCTTCATAGCCTACCTCACTGCCATTTTTCATTGTATTATTAACTTTATTTTCTCAGGCAAGCTGACAATTGGAAGCTGAAGAGACTTTTCTTTTTTCTCAGTGAGGACAGTTGCACATCTCCACACACTTAAAGGATGCGATGTGATGTACACAGCATACCCTTATTATTCAAAAAGGACAGCCTTAATTCACCAGGTTTAAGATGATAAGAGTGCTGATCTTGTCTCTTTACAATCACCTGTATCATTGTAGTCCTTGAAAGTCCAGTCACAAGAATTTGGCACATTTAGCTTCTGTAGAGAGGAAAATGCCAGACATGTCTATGGGTTTCTCCAGATGCTGAGTTAGTAGAGTTGCTTTTTTTAGTTCACATGTGAGAATCAGTATTTATAGATTCAAAGACCATTTGTACACAGCTGAGGAATGACAGAGCTGTCTTTAAATAAAGGACAAGTTTTTGCATGATATTCATATTTTCAGTTATTTTATGGGAATGCTTTATTTTTACTAAATTTAAGAGCAGCCATAATCCCCTTCCAGTATATTGCACCTATTTGATGATAATTAGGATTTTAGAATTTAGAACATTTAGGATTTCTACCAAAAGAAAGGAAAGAAAGACCTTGAGCTCTGTAACACAGTGTCCTGCTAAGGTACTATAGCTAGATCTGAGCAAAGTGGGCACCAAGAGCAGTTGAGATTGAGTATCACTGTCATTTCCACCCAGGTAAAATACTCTGGCAGAGAAACAGATTACACTAGCCTAGAAGCCAGGCCATGCTAACACCACTGTCCTACTCCCATTTTACATCTTCTTTACTTATTACTGCAACTAGAACATGCCAACGAGGTCATTACTTAAAATATCACTGCAACGGGCCACTGTAACACCATTCAAAAGAAAAACATTTCAACTCAAATTAAATGGTTCACCGATAATCTGAGTTATTTAGTTCTTTTAAAAATGCTTTTTTATTTCTGTGAACTTAGGTCATAAAAAGCTAAGCAACATTTCTATAAGGAAAGTCAATCAAAATTGTTTGAAATTAGTTGCATTGACTTTCTCAACACTCTACCTCAATTTTTTTATTTAAAGTATTTACAACCTCCAGTCAGAATGCACAAACTACAAAACAAAATTTCCCCCATAAAATAAATGCACATTTCCATTTAAAATCTGAATTGCAATTTCATCCTTTTTTTCCTCTCCGTTAACTCTTTTTGGAAGCGAATGTCAGATTAGCACATCCTTTATATCAATCTTTGGAATTGCTTCAATCTTCACCACACAGATAATAGGGATGAAATTCGTATGTTCACTCTGTTAGGAAGGGGCAGAAGTCACTTTCAAAACTGGCACTCAGCTCCTCATTTCTAATGGAGCTAAGCCTGTGCACACTTGAAGAAAATCACCTTTATCTCCACTCACAACAGATACTCCCAGTGAAGCTGACAGCTCCCCTATATTGCTTTGCATAAAGTAGGTACATTGATTTCCAACATACAGCATGCAACAAGAAACTGCCAGAAGAAAGGTTTCTTTGTTGGTCTCATATACAGGTCAATATGATATATGATATAGGAATGCTTTTCATTTGCTAGCTAATTCCTACCATTTTAGATCTTTATGAAATGGTTGCACTTGGAGACTTCAGGTAGGACATCAGGTTTCAGTGAAATAATCACGGAACCACAAAACCCTGGTTAGAAAAGACCATCAAGCCCAACCATTAACCTAACTCTACTGAGTCCACTGCTAAGCTATGTCCCTAAGCAACATGTACACATCTTTTACACACCTCCAGGGATGCTGATTCAACCACCTCCCTGAGAAGCCTGTTTCAGTCTTTCTTCTAATATCCAACCTAGACCTCCCCTAGCAAACTTGTGACCACTTTCTCTTTTCCCATCACTAGTTACATGGAAGAAGAGATCAACCCCCACCTCATTACAACCTCCCTTCAGGTAGCTGTAGAGAGCAAGGAAGTTTCCCCTTAGCCTCCTCTTCTGTAGTCTAAACAACCCCAGTTCCCTCAGCTGTTCTTTGTATGACTTGTTCTCTAGCTCCTTCAGCAGCTTCATCACCCTTCTCTGGACCTGCTCCAGCACCTCAATGTCCTTCTTGCAGTGAGGGGCCCAGAACTGCACACAGTGATCAGGGTGAGGCCTCACCAGTGCTGAGCACAGGGGCAGGATCACATCCCTGCTCCTGCTGGCCACACTATTCCTGATACAAGCCAGGATGCCATTGGCCTTCTTGGCCTCCTGGGGCACCCTGCTGGCTCATGTCCAGCTGCTGTCAATCAGCACCCCCAGATCCTTTTCCTCTGGGAAGGCCACTCTTCCCCAAGTCTGTAACATTGCATGGGGTTGTTGTGACCCAAGTGCAGGACATGACACTTGGCCTTGTTGAGCCTCGTACAATTGGCTTAGGCCCTACCTAGCCTATCCAGATCTGTCTGTAGAGGTTTCCTGCCCTCAGGCAGATCAACACTCCTACCCAAATGAAACAAAATCCCAGAAGTCTAATGATATTCTTTATGTTCTGTTCTATCACTGCACCAGAAATGTTATTCATATCCTTCTGATTCTTTCTTTTCCTTTAATTTTTTTTTTGTCAGTAAACAATGACTACTATAACAAACACAAGAAGCAATAAAAAACCTCAACATTATCAATAAAACATCTTCCCAGCAGCATAAAGGTTAAGTTGTGTATACCATAAAATAACGCCAATGTTGAGTAAAGTGTTCTGACAATAGGTTTTCTTGTCTTACAGGCACATAATTTGCCAATGTACCAAAACAGACTCGAGATTTTCCTACTTACACCACAGATTCACACATTAACTGAAGCTACACTCCAGAGCAACAACGTTTCCAAAAAGAAGCTCTTCTAGAAAAGAAATAAGGGCCAACCCTAAGGTGAAAAACAGGTCTATATGTCAGTATGAATGGAGTGGCTGGAGAACCGCCCAGCACAGAGGGACCTGGGGGTGCTGACTGACAGGGCTGAACATGAGCCAGCAGGGTGCCCAGGTGGCCAAGAAGGCCAACACCATCCTGGCCTGCATCAGGAATAGTGTGACCAGCAGGACCAGGGAGATGATCCTGCCCCTACACTCTGCCCTGGTGCACCTCGAGCACTGTGTGCAGGTTTGGGCACTGCAGTATAGGAAGGACATTGAGGTGCTGGAGAGAATGCAGAGAAGGGCAGCTGGGCTGATGAGGGGTCTGGAGAACAGGTCTGATGAGGAGAGGCTGAGGGAGCTGGGGCTGTTCAGCCTGGATAAGAGGAGGCTGAAGGGAGACCTCATTGCTCTCTACAGCTATCTGAGAGGAGGTTCTAGTGATGTGGGTGTTGGGCTTTTCTCCCTAGTGACCAGCGATGGGATGAGAGAAAACTACCACGTTTTGCTAGGGGAGGTTCAGATTGGATATTAGGGGAAAAAAATTCACAG